TGGATAGATGGATGGATGGATGGATGGATGGATGGATAGATGGATGGATGGATGGATGGATGGATGGATAGATGGATGGTTGTGTTGATGGATGGATGGATGGATGGATGGATGAATGGATGGATGGATTGATGGTTGGGTTGATGGGTGGATGGATGGATGGATGGATGGATGGATGGATTGATGGATGGATGGATTGATGGTTGGGTTGATGGGTGGATGGATGGATGGATGGATGGATGGATGGAGGATGGATGGATGGATTGATGGTTGGGTTGATGGGTGGATGGATGGATGGATGCCGGGCCTTAGCTATCTGCTCCTCTCCACCTCAGAATGATTGGGTCTACCTCCTGGGTTTGGATAAAGAGTGTGTATCAGGGGTATGAGTGGAATGTGGCGTCCTTGTATGTCTTTGATTGAGTGTGGGTGAGGATAAGGGTTTGATGGTGCGATGGATGGAAACAAACACTGCCAAACACTGATGGATCTCAGTCTGAGAATCTCTCAGACTGAAGAAGTCTTTTGGAGGAGAGACGAAACGTTTCATTAAAGAAGAACCCGTCCAGAGGACCTAAACAATTTTTTCTTTTTTATATATTTAGTATTTTCAGCTTTTTATTGCTTAACTCAGTGAAAAAGATCTTTCAGCATCTTTGTAATAATGTAGCTTTGTCAGCCACTTTCAGGCTATTTTACAAGTTGCAACTTTTTTGTCACTTTTCTTGTTATTCTACTGATTTGAGCTTTTTTACCATCTCTCTGCTAAATTCAAGTTGTTTGCTACTTTCTGCTTTTGTTTTCCTACTTTCAGCAAAAGTCAGCTGATCAAATGAACCTCAGAACAGTTTTTCTAACAAACATTTTCAGCTTCTTCAGCAGATTTCAGGAAAATCTTTCAGCATGCAGGAAATGCAAATTCTTTAGTTTTAGTCATTGAACTTTTCTATCAAAACAAAAAATACAGATTTTTCAGCCACAGTGTCATCTGACAAAACCTACACTTATGCAGAATATAGACGATGGCTGCGCTTTTTTCAGCTATGCTTACATGAATTKGGCCAGTACGAAAAGTTGAAATTGCCACTGTGTTTTAGAAGATTTTTTAATGCTACTTTTGTATTCTCCTCTGCAGACTGCAAAGATTTAGACTCACTCTGTGGTTGGAGCAGACTGTTGTGGAAAACATAGAGAGCCTGGAGTGTAGGCCCAACTTGGCATAAGCCCTCAATTTTGATGATTACTGCATTAGCCTTCATTTTTTATAGTTAGCTTTAAAATACAAAGTAAAGGCATGCTTTTCGTCAACAGGTCCTCAAAATAAAAGGAGCCCACAGACGAGCCTGATTAAGCATCGCACACACAGCAGACCCTAACTCGAGAGGAAAACTCTGACTCTTTACTGCACGAAGCAGCTAAAAGTCCCTCAGAGGGACGTTGACGCTTGAAGAGAACGCCACTTAATGTCTCCAGAATGAYATGTAGTTTGAATTAATCATTTAAAACAACTTCATGAAGTCCAAGTTCACAGAAAATACTGATGCCACTCATGGACATGCTCATTAGCTCTTTTTGTGCAACAAAAACAAACAGAAAAAATAACAGACAAAAAAATGTTCAAAAGGGACATATGCAAAATCCACTTTTTTAGCTGTTAAATGCATTTTTGTTGTGTTCTTGGAGTCAACAAGAYTGCAGAAAACTTAAATTTAGTCTCTCCCGATGCTGCGTACATTTCTTAATATTCTGTTTGGGTCGTATTTTTCAGTCTGTTCAGTTTTCTCTATTCTCTGTTACATTTTCTGAACTATTACGTCAAAGTATGGGTGTGGAGCACCTCATTTGGCTTTAAAGAGACAGCCTCAAAACGAGTTGCTCTGAGACACACCTCAGAAAAGGGGTGAAAGAGGGCATTGTGCAGTTARAATAAGGAGGAATTCAAARCAAAACATTMCAATTTCACTCTATGRAGACCCCAAATGAATGATTTAACTGTGAAAAGGAAGGATTTATAAGTATATGTCTCCTTTAAATCCATGTTCATTACAAATGAAGACTTTCTGAGGTGCTCCAAATAAACCTGTTTTTTTTGTTCCTGTAGTCTGTTCATTGTTCTGCTTTCTCAGTGGCGATGTTGCTGTGTGCGTGCCACTGAGTGTTTGCCTCAGATGGAGTTTGAAGTTGCTGCTTGCTGTGTTTATAAACCCACATACTGTGGCCGAWGCCTGGTGCATAATGTCAAAGACCTGCCTTTTCTTAGAGCTCTTCAACTTCAATCTAGAATCTGAGCCCAGATCGTCAGCAGAGCACCTGCCACGTCAGCCCTTCATCAACATCACAACGCCCACTCCATCAGCAGCTCCAGACGTGGCCAACATGAAGCAGGACATGTCGCTCCCCAGCAGCAAGAACTCCGCTAAACATGGGTGGACATAACAAACACACAAGTTCATGTTATTCCTGTTWCTTGAAATAGCAATCAAAGCTGATTTAATTAAAATACTCTGTATAAATGTGGTTTGTAGAGAAACACTGACAGGGTCCAGATACTTTCCCTTTTTTTTTTTTTGAGCAAACCAAAAGTACAAGGCATTCTGGGAAACGGTCATGGCGAGGATGTAAACCAGACTTCAGCCGCCTGTGTGTCCTGGTGTTGTGCGAATGTCGATCGGAAACAATCATGCATGCATGAGAAATCTGCGGACTCGCTTAAAATAGTCGTGTATTTGTTCTTGTCCAGGTCTGCACTTGTTTGTTTAAACACTGATTTGGCTCATGCGGTTTGGCTACATTTCGTTTTTAGAAATTGCATTTCCAAGTCTGTATTTGGGCCTTTTTTTTTTCTGAACAGGTCTTTCTCATCTCACTGCTTTTTTATACTTTAAACAAAGATCATTTATTGCAGGGTTCATTTTTTAAAATCATAATTATTACAAACATATTGCAAATGATTAAAATAGGCAGAATTTCTTTGTTGAAAACTTGATCTCGCCCAACTTTCATGGCGGTCGGACTGTTTGCTGTTTGTGGCTGATAACATCTGCACGGTCAGGCTGCGTCGAAATGTGTTTCCAGTTTCTTTTATTTTGTTGAAACATAACTTTTTTTGTTTGTTTGTCTTTTGAAGGGGCGAGATTTCACCCGAGATAAAAACCAAAACTCCTTTAAAACATTAAGAAACACTGACCTACACCAGATTCTTGGTCAGAGAGTTGCAGGTTTGCTACATGTTGCCTAATCCAAAAGAAAACCCGTTTGAACAAATTAATTCAACTTTAGCAAAACAAACAAAAAAATCTATATAATTTTTTTGCCCTTTTTATGCCAGATAATCTGATCTCTAAAGAAAATACGGTAAAAAAATCTGTTTAACACTTTGATTTTAAAGGTTGTTTATTCTTATTCTTATTTATATATTTATTCTTATTCATATTATTCTTTTTATTTTTAATCGTATTTTTTATTGTTATTCAACTTAGAAAACATAATTATGTAATAATTGTTCAAAAATATTTATTTGAAACTAATACATATACAATTAAACAGAGTCACATTTTAATATAAATATATTAATATCATTTATATTAAGAGAAATTGCAGTAATTGTCTACATCTATTGACTGAACTTGAAATCTGAACACCTTGATTTTCTACCACCTCTGCAACATCTGCCCAGAACAAAGGACAGATGTTGATCCAAATAAAGTTTTTGAGGTGAGCTCTCTGTTGGAGGTTTTAACCCTCAGCTGGTTTCCCATGATGCCCTCCGGGTCGGACCCCGTTGGGCAGAAGTGTTGGATCTGCTTTGGTTTCAGGGCAGCAGATGAAATCAGCTTTTAAGTTGGGGTTCTGTCACTGAGAGGACCGGCTCACCGCTGACCCAGTACTGRGGTTTGCAGTACAGAACAGAAACACAGATCTCACGTTTCATTGATTGTTTACATTTTATTTATCTAATATTTCACTGTTTTTTATTGTTTAATTAAAAACATGCATGCAATTTATCAGATATTTTTGAATACCCTCCTCATCAGTGAAATATCAGAATATGTTGTGTAGGTTTAGGAGTTATTATGTGTAAAATAACTTTCTCCACCTGGTGATTCACTTGTATTGATAACATTTACTTTTTAACCTGACACCTCATTTAGCTGTCAAAAAAAAAGCTTAAACATTTTTTTCGTGTTTTATCAATAATTTTAAACAGTGCATTAAGAAATCGGCTAAAACTTTCCCTGAGCTGTGAGACGTGGGGAGCAGATCTGAAGCTACACATCATTTTCAGAACGTCTCCTTTCATCATTAGTGTATCTTCAAAATGATCCTGTGAAAMAAATTCTGTGTGATTTTCTGACGTGGATTAAAGACTTAGTTTTTTTAAACATCCAAACATAAAAAAACATTTGTAACTGCAAAGACAAACCTGGGGAGACACACCTGAATAAAAATTCATGTTTTTTTWATATTCTGTTAATTTAGTCCAACTAAAGCTGGTCTGGGTAATTTGAACCTCAAGAATTATTTAATTTGACCCAAAGGATTTAATCTGTTGGCTTCCTGCATGTTAACTGACATTTTATAGACGTAATATTATAAATTCTTACATTTTTATATGTGAACTGAATCAGAATGAAGGGCATATTTGTGACCAGATATCACTGTGTATTTGTTACTTATGGAAACAGCTGAAGTGAGTAAAAATAGATCCAATTTGAACCTTTCAGTTGAGCGAATATGTTTTTAAAGCTGCTTGTGTTTGAATGAAGAGCTCTGTCTTTATGATGCTCCACCCACCTGCCTGATCTTGATATTTACTTTTGACAGTTGTCTTATTCAATCACCCTCTTTTCTTTCACGTTTAGCTGATTTGTTTTAATATTTAACATCTTCAAGATTCTGCTCTTGTTTGATTCCATCATATTTTTACTCAGACTACAGCCAGCCTAATATCAGTCAATCATCGAAATCAAGCTTCCACATGGTTTGTTGTGATTCAGTTGAGTGCTTTGTTTACATTAAGTGTGGACCTGCATTTCAGAATTGTCTTAAATAGATTGGGACAACTACTGGGGTAAACACTTTGAAACTTTACCAAGTGAAATATTTCAGGATGACACATTTATGTTTAAAATTTGCATTAACTGACTATTCTTCTTTAACTTTATGTGTCTGTGTGTGTAAGAGTCGTATTGGTCTTATTCTCAGATGGAAATTCTAAATAGAAGTGTCCCATCAGCTCAAACTGAGGATTAAATTCCAAAGTGGTGAAAAAATGGGCAACTAAAGCAGATTCAAATGTTTGCATCAATTATGTTTTGTGAAAATTTGATGAATAAATATTTTTATTTTAGTCATTATGCTGATGAGTCATTTAAATGATATGGAAACCCATTTCCACCACCCTGATTAAAATAAATCATAACTTGTATCCCATAATTTTGACTTAGCTATCTTGTAATAATGAATTAAAATCTCATAATTATGACTTACAATCTTATAATTAATAATAAGATAATATTTCACAATAATGATTTACGATCTCATAACTATGACTGGCTATCTCCTAATAATGAGATACTAAGTCATAAGTCATAATTAGGAGATAAACATTTTTTTTTGTTTGTTTGTTTTTTCTTCAGAGTGCCAGATATGAGCTTCCATAAAATGAAATATCTGATATATAATTTTGTTTTTATTTTTCAGTATTAACAAAAATCATGATTCTGTGCAGAAAAACCTTCAATTTATAATGTTTCCTTTGAGCTAGCAAAGATTTATTTCTTCCCAGCTGGTAAATCTTAAAATTCAAACACTGTTTGAGGTTTGTTCTTTGAAATGGCATGAAAATCCCTCTTCCTTTCTAAACCTTAAACTGGYATTCAGTCCAAATATTAGCAAGTCATCCTGATTAGGAAGAGAAGTGAAAGCGTGACTCTGGAACCGGTCATGCTATCAGGATGACCCAGGTGTCAAAATGTAGCTTAAAAGGAAGGAATCCGAAAARGTGCTTCATTTTGATAAACTCTTTAAGAAAATGTATTTTCTTAACTCTCAGTTTGATGTAATATAGGTAACATATGCAWAATACTAAAAGTCTTCTAAAAGCAGTGTATAGTAGACCACAGCTGGTGTATTTTTTGATGGATTTCATGGCCAAYAAGGATCCCCTTGCTCTTCTCCAGCTGCTGTTTCACCTTTCTGAGTTATTGCCTGAAAGCAGCCTGCTCTGCGGAGCCGCAGGGATTACAGAGCAGAAGGTTTGCAAACAAATTCACTGCAACTTTCTGTGGCTTTGCCAAAATCACCACCAGCATGATCTTGTAAAGAGGCTGCAGTGCGTTGGGTCTCAAATCTGAATATCTAACTGCGCCGCAAACAGACCCAACTTTGAACTCTCTCCAATTTTAAGTTGAATCKCAACTGTGTGATGGTAAATGTTCTTTGGCTTTGATAATGATAATTGTGGCAGTTAAGTGAAGATGCTTGCTGCTGTCTGTTTCCAAAACATGTGGGTCATGAATTATTAATGGGGCCCAACTAATTGACGGGAGGCTGTAAGTGGAAAAAAACAGTCATATGCTTTGCAAATCTTTGCAATTACCTCTGTGTTTCCGGTTTAAAACCAAACTAAAATCTAGAGAAATACTAAGGTTAAGAAAGATCAGAGAGGGGAAAGTGTACACTTAATGCTGCTCAGCCAGAGGAGCAGAAATCCTTGTGCCTGGACTGAACTACAGTGGTGTGGGGCTGAAGTGTTTGTGGGGTTCTGGTGGTTTTTCAGCCAATAAATCCTCTGCACAAATTTAATCCAGTCAGATGTGCAGCAGGAGAGGAGCACTGAGGGATGTACAGCCATTACTCACCAGCCCACATC